TGTGTAGCTATTCGGACTCAAATGCAAGATACCCTGGATGGCAACTCGTCCCCTGCTGAAAAATTGAAGAAATGTTAGTACCTACTATAATAAACAAACCATATCTATTAGCTATTACACAATCTCAATATTCAAATAGAAATAGATAATTCTCTTGTATACCCAGGGATATTATATATCCATAAAATATGGTTCTGTTTTAGCTCATATGAATGTAATAGGGAGCTGTATTCTAACTTATTCATTTTGGATACATGTACAATCTGCATTGGCTATTTTATTGCAGAGATGATACTACAAAATAGAAATCTATAAAGGCCTAGGCAGATTGTCATGAACAAGATTTTTATATGAGGCAAGCATTACAAATAAAACCATAAATTACCCACCTGCACATGTTCATAATGTCTTCTTTCTTGCCCAGCCTTGTGTATTGCAGTTCAAAAGTCAAAAGCAATCAATTTGCTTCTTTATTTTCATTATAAAAATATTCGAAAAAAAAAACAACCATACTTATTTTTCCAAGTCCTTTTTTCTGGAGACATTTCCCCATAAACAAAATATGAACAGTTGATCATTTCAATCATGTTCTCCCTCAAATAGGCACTGCAAATAAGAGTTAATTATCAGTAATAAATATATCTATGAATCACAAATTTACCTTATTGTTATCATTATTGGACCAATGTAGTAAGGTAGGAAGTTTTTGTTTGAGCTGCATACATCCAGTTTTCAAATTCATATTGGATTCTCAACGTTTATCCATTTCTTCCATTCAACTGAACTGATTTTTCATCATCAGAATAGACTTTTTAAGTGCAGGAAATTCATTTTAAAAGACATTATAGGTCCTACATTTTTCCATTGGAACCTTCTACAAGTTCAACCAGCAACCAAACACAGTTGATTTCGCGTATTTTTAGAGATTTGTTGATACTAATTTATAAAATATTATAGAATTGAGTAGGCAATTAATAAAAAGTTCATGTCTTGTACTCCAGAGAAGCAAGAAGAGAAAATTAACGTAATTTGTTGAATGGAATTCATAAAATATGAATCTCAATGAACACAATTACAAACATGACCTTGAATAACGTCTCAAACTGATTCAAATTTGCCCACCAGATGTCGTATCAGAATCGTCACCTTGCCAATAGAAGACGGGAGATGAGATGCAGGAACCTGTAATGGTAGTAGGACTAGTAGGTGATTTTCTTCAATTCCTTCAGAGACTTTCAACTTCCCCTATTTCGAAATGGTTTTACGCAACGTAACTAATAGTGAATAATGGCTCATCAAGTATGTAGAGCAGAAGTGAACCGAGCACGCAGCTCCATCCGTTCAAGCGTCACAGGTACCCACGCAGCCCGACAGAGGGCTCATCCCTTCGAGATTGCACCTTAGCCAAACAACGGTAAATCTCGCCGTAAGCCCGAAATCGAATACAACCTCTATCCCGTCTTAACCCCTTTCGACATCGGCGACGCCGGGATTTAGCCGCCCTTTCCGGAACACCCCGTTCGCCACCCCCTTCGTGTCTCTCGGGGTGCTCTCCTTACTAGTATATGCAGAGAGAACGCAAGAAATAAAGCGCGTGGTGGGGGACTGTTACATGCCTTGATGCAAAATGACGTATTTGTCATCTAACAGGGTAAGGACTGATCATAGCTCCTTTCTCTTTTAATCATCTAGTGACTTTGGTTTCGTGTTTTGGCCTCCCTGAGATGACATTACTGTCACGTCACATTCATGAGCGTTAAAAGAGATCTTACAAAATTTCAATTTCATACTTGATCTTAATTAATACGACATTATTCAATTCTATTTTGGAAGGATGGTAAAATGTGCTGCGTTAGGCTGTATCAATCAGTTGGATGGCAAACTTGAAATTGTCAGGTTTCCATCAAATGCAAATGAACTCAGAAGATGGAAATAAGTGAAGTGAAAATCGGTAAATACATCAGCAAAATATTCGAGGTAAAACAAATACGGAATCACATATTATACTTTTTCATTGTGCCTATAATTATCCACTCCACAAGTCCATTTTAGTAGAAACAGTTTTGATTAAATCGGAGGATTAAAAGAAGAGACATATGACCTACCATTTAAAAAATTATACCTACATTCATTAAATATTAAGTGTACGTGAAAAACTGCAAAATTACTAACATGAATATATACAGCACACATGACATATGAGCACATTAGTTTGAATACCTACATAAATTTTTTCACCGTTTCTGAACCATAAGGCTTAGTCTGAAATCAAAATTCATTTATTGATAGGTACTGCCTAAGAACAGTCCCATTTGGTGAAACGTATTTAACTTTCAGAAAAATTTGCTCACTGCCTCACAAAAATTATGCTGGAGTTGAAAAATCAAAAACTCGAAAATTATCATCATCATTTGGATGTAATATGTAGAGTTGAATGGGAAATTACATGTGGAAATTACGTATGATACGCCAATGTCCTCAATATAACCTAAAAAACAACAGATGTTAGAAATCTAGTGTTTATCCCCAGAAATGAATAAATATGGAACTATATAACTGTTTCACAAACACTTTAGAGTGAGAGGAGACGAGGATCTGTCCGTATATACCCTGTGAAGATGACAAATACGTCAATTTACATCAAGGGACCCTAGCGAACCATAGCACTACTATACGGGAAATATTGCCACGGTGGCAAGTTAAGTGCGTATAGAATTGTTTCGTAATTTGTTTTGTCAGAAGCGTGGTGGTCATTAGAGTAGTGTTCAGCGAAAAGACCGGGGTTCGATCCCTACTCCAGCTAACTTTTTTTTTTCGAAGTAATCATTCGGGAGAAAACTATGGAGGCATTCATTGGTTAGGCTGATAGTGATTTGCTATTTCAATTATGATTTTTCCCAGGATCGGCCGGTAATTTTCAGTTTCTCGCGCCCAGCGAACCGAACCTTTTTCAATACAAATTGTCACTGACAAGCTAATGAATTTTTCTTTTAGGCTCTCTGATAGGAAAATTTTTTGAACGCAGTGACATTTTGGGGCAAATTATCTGATTGTTCCCAACTACACGTACATCGAAATAGTATTCATATTTTTATTTTATAGAGACGAGGAGTGAACATCCCGAAAAAAATCTGGAATTATGAATGTATAGTATATCCAATATCAATTGCAGAATATCCCGCACTGTGCGGCGTCGGCGTGTTTGAAGTTTCCTTTGAGGTGACTGCAGGTGCGGCACAAGATTCTGCAATTGTTTTTGGATAAACTATACCACCTCCTCGATTAACCTACAGACAGTATTTAATAAGACATATATCCTGCTCTTTGTCTTTTCAATTTCCCTGGTAGCGCCAGACATTGGGAATTTTCAGATCTCGTACATGTTTAGGAACTGTTAGGAACACTAACTTTTGTTACATTTGAACAAGGATCACATGAAATACACTATAATTATTGTACTCTTTACTATAAAGTGCGTCGATTATAGCTCCAAGCACAATTTATAGTAAAAAGTCCGATTTCATTATAGTAATTTTTTTACATGAATATTGCTATACAATTTTAGCACTATGAGTTACTATTTTGGACAGTTAAAATAATCCATATAGATTGTGCGAGTATGGAAATCTGCTACAAAGACTGATAAATCTACTACAATAGTATGCTAATTGCTACTATATTATTTCAGTGAAAAGAATTATATTATTATAGTAATAAATCCCTGACTGAAATTTTATATAATAAGTAGTAAGAAAATACATGATTAAATGCTGTAAAATATTAAAATATACTTTATTCGTGATATTGAATAATAATAGTTGTTCTTATTCGAACAGAAACATATCATGCATATATATTATACCATCAATATTATACCAATATAAAAATAAGTACGACATAATAATTTTCACATTTTTTAGTCTTTCGGACAAACTTCTTCTTATTTCATATATCTCTCAATATCCATGAGTATATAGGATTTTGATCAATTTCGATACCAACTCCGAAGTTTGTGCCCCAGGATTTCGAATCCCTGCATTTCCTGCTATCTCTAAACTTCTTCCATGCGGAGACCGAATCGGTAGATCGCCATTTTACACTGCTCGAGGTGATGACGGTTTGAACCAGGCCATCGGCTGATCATTATTTTAGTAATAATGTGTGGTTCAGGCTTTTGGATAGTTGATTTCCAATTCTGAAGTAGCGAAATAATTCATTATGTTGATAAGATACATTTTGCCACTGGTGACTAAATAGCGATAAAAAATAACACATAAGACAATCGCCCTCTACTTGCCAAACCAACAGACTGGTGAATGAGCGAGCGTCAATAAGGTTTACTCTGTAGTCTTAATTTCTTGTGGACTGTGAACTTGTTTTGATTCGTTCATCGCTTTGTATAATGCTATGATTGGCGAATAGCTAACGTTCAACATGACATAACAAAAAAATACCTATATATGGTTACCACAGAAACTATATAAAAACATCCTGCGAAAAATTACTCAACAATATAGAAATAATCCATACCTAGAGAATTCATCCCATTCCACTATGTTTTCGTAATGATAATTCCAATGGTTCAAAGGGAAGTAGAAAAAATGGCTGGAGCAAGCTCACGCTATTTCCTTGATTACCGATTGTTCGCCATTACAATAAATCTTTCATACAATTAAACATGTATTTATCGATAGAAACATTATCCCATGTATTTACTCCCGATAAAAAATGCTGACACGCAGGGTTGAAAAAAAACATGTATTTTTTAATTTTATACAAAACACTTGTTTTTTTTTGTTTTAAACATTGTTTTTTTTGTTTCTGAATTTTATGATTTGAACAAATTAAACTTAGAAAAAGACATTGTTCAAATCAAATTTTTTTCAAACATAATATTAATTCAGAGATTAATTCAAAATGTTTGATATAATAATCTTTAGTATAAGTCCACTAAATAATAGATTCCTTATTTGAAGTCTGACTCTGTATACTTAAACTAAACTAAACTGTCGCGATCAGCTGTGTTATGAACGTCGCGCCATCGCTGTGAGGATGTGCCGGTGAATCCCCGAAATAAGAAAACCAATTGCGATGAGGACTGTTGGCCTGGGGGAACCACAGACCATTTATAAATTCGCATTGCCAGTGGGCTATATAGTTTATCTTCTGTAGTCTATGCTATTGCAAACCGTCTACTGTACTGAGTACTGTTAGTTTTTTTGAGTAAAAGTTATTTTGTGCCTTTGTGGTGTTCCTTTTTTGAAAAATGTCGTCTACTGGAAGGAAGAAAGATGTCATTTGGTCGTATTTTGATGTTGTTAAGGATAATAACAAAAAATCAGTGACTGCTAAATGTAAAAAATGTAAAGTAATTATGGCTGGACTAGTGCAGCATATGAAGAAACATATCCAGAAATGCGTTCCATCTGAAAATTCTCAGCAACCAATGTCAACTATATATGACTCCGATCCAGATGAGGATTTAACGCTAGCTGAGAAATTTGTGAACGCTTGTATGCAAAATGTTTTAAATTTTCCAATTTTTCTTATGTTCCTAATTCCTATTATTAATGAATAGATAATTAATATGTATTATGTACTATGTACGTATGTTAAAAAGTTTGTATAATGTATCTCAGAATTTTTCCTATTTTCATTTATTATAATAATAAAGAAAATGAAAAAAAAAACGCTTGTTTAATATAAGTGTTTTAAACATGTTTTAAACTGTTTTGAACAAAAACTGTTTAAAACTTGAGCACATGTTTAAAACATGTTTAAAACAGTTGATTACAACAAAATGTTTAAAGCAAAACAACCCTGCTGACACGACAGGTACCCTTACGAGGAGGGTGTATCATCCCTATTGTCTCTAAACTGTTTCTGTGATGTAGGTTGTCGTCTTGAAGAGTTGTATGCCAGGAGTTCACGAGGGCGAGTTCATCCTCGCCATCTTTAAATGGCTCAATGAGATGAATGGATATTAAAATTCCTCAGATTCCGCATTTTTCGTTGATACCATTTTGTGTATTTTGTAACTTTCGGTTCACCATTTTAACCTGAAAATTATATCAAATGTGAGTCCCCATCGAATTGTTGACATGTTCATGCACTATCTAATGATGTAAGATTCTCTAGAACAAGCTCTGAATGAAATATTACTGTCCTCATAAACGTATTCCAAACATCTTCGATATAAGAGCGTTAACCATTTATTTTCATGATATTCAATTCTTTCGCATCAGGAGACACATCAGCAGAGCTATAAACGCCTGCTCATTATCCACATTCATTCGGGAAATAATCTAAATTGAAGGAGTCCGGATTTAGATTTCATTTTTGTTCCTCTCAGAAGAAAGCTAAAATATGGCGGAAGAAAAGATCTCCCGAGTACATTTCTACTTTAATTAGTTCTCTTGGTACTACAATATTCACGTAGCGTGGGATGATGAAGTGTTGATTTATTGTTTTTGTAAGTGATGTTTCTGTATTGGGATTGGCAAGGTGAGATTGAGATAAATTAATTAAAATGACGACCAAGTTTAATGCGGAATTTCCATCTCGAGGAAGTTTTAATAAGGTTGTTGGTTCTATTTTGAAAGCAATTTTATTGTGTTTTTCTTGCATTTATAAAAATCGCAATAACATTGAATTTGCTGGGAATTAAGGAACAATATTAGTATTCAGGATCATCATACACTGTGTCCAAGATAAGGATGTATATCATGGGGATCGTTTTCTTTTTTTCTGACGTTATTTTAAAAGATATAAGCGAACAAGAGACACTTTCTCTGCCACTTCTTACACACAAAAAAAGAATCTCTTGTATTGAGCATGACTGCATTGGTCCAAGAAAATTATTTGTTTGTATATAACTAGTAGAATATCATCTCCGATACGGAATACCTGTCTGGGGAGCAGCTCGACGTACACACATAAACAAACTTGAAATATGCCAAGAAATATTCCTAAAAATAATGATAGCAAAACGCCCCACTTACCCGTCAGTAGCAAGTATCAAACACTGCTTTTTGGATCTGCAAGTAAATTCACATATTAATCGAAGTACATTTAAATCATGAAATAAATATCATTAGATGAAGTACATGGATGTTGCATCGGAGACATACCTGAATGATATTTTCATCCTCCGTAACTGGATTGCTACATATCCGCTTTCTTTCCGAATAGTGGTTTTTCCAGCAGGCATCTTCCACATTTTCAATTACGTGGGTTATATTAAGGACCTTGCATGCCAAAAAATGTTCTACTCGGATCTAAAACTGAGGATCAATTTCAAATTTGAATCGTGAGACCTACATATAGAATATAAATCTATAAATAGTCTGGATATTGTTTTCATCATTCGTAACTGGAACGCGATATATTTTTGTAATTCATCAACTATCTCAACGAAGACGAGACAGGCAGATAAACAACAATTTTCTCTGCAATGAAGAACACTGTATATACCTAACCCACTATGCGCCTACCTCCTTTGCAGAGAGGGTTTATAAACGCCGAGTTGATACTCTCCCCTCGTAAGGGTACCTGTCGTGATTCCATAGAGACATAAAGGTGAATATCTGTCTATACGTTTCCTCGAGAATCTGGAAAGGATATCAATATATCGCCTTCCGTACGAATATAAGCATATGAATTCTGTAAAGTATACTCTGGTCAGTTCTCTTTGCGGATCTTCTGTTCGGTTCGTCTTGACTAGGTGGTTTTCCCCGATTGAGTGGCAAGTATCAAACACTGCTTTACGGATCTGCAACTAAACATCACATATTAATCGAAGTACATTCAACTGAGACATACCTGAATGATAATTTCATCGTCCGTAACTAATATTGCTACATATCCGCTTTGTTTCCGAATAGTGGTTTTGCCAGTAGGCAGCTTCCACATTTTCTATTACGTGAGTTGAATTAAGGACCTTGAAGTTCGCACAATAATGTACTGCTCGGATCTAAAACTAAGTATCAATTTCAAATTTGAATCGTGAGACCTACATAGAATGTAAATCTATGGAAAGTCTGGATATTGTTTTCAAGATTCGTAACTGGAACGCGATATATTTTTGTAATTCATCAACTTTCTCAATGAAGACGAGGCAGGCAGATAAACAACAATTTTCTCTGCAATGAAGAACACTGTATATACCTAACCCACTATGCGCCTACCTCCTTTGCAGAGAGGGTTTATAAACGCCGAGTTGATACTCTCCCCTCGTAAGGGTACCTGTCGTGTTTCCATAGAGACATAAAGGTGAATATCTGTCTATCTGTTTCCTTGAGAATCTGGAAAGGATATCAATATATCGCCTTCCGTACGAATATAAGGATCTGAATTCTGTGAATTATACTCTGATCAGTTCTCTTTGCGGATCTTCTGTTCGGTTATTCTTGACTGGGTGGTTTTCTCCGATTGAGTGGCAAGTATCAAATATTGCTTTTCGGATCTACAACAAAACATCACATATTAATCGTTGTACATTCAACTGATACATACTTGAATGATATTTTCATCGTCCGTAACTGGATTGCTACATATCCGCTTTGTTTCCGAATAATGGTTTTGCCAGTAGGCAGCTTCCACATTTTCAATTACGTGGGTTGAATTAAGGACCTTGAAGGTCAAACAATAATGAACTCCTCGGATCTAAAACTAAGTATCAATTTCAAATCTAAATCGTGAGACTACATAGAATGTGGAAAGTCTGGATATTGTTTTCAAGATTCGTAACTGGAACGCGATATATTTTTGTAATTCATCAACTTTCTCAATGAAGACGAGGCAGGCAGATAAACAACAATTTTCTCTGCAATGAAGAACACTGTATATACCTAACCCACTATGCGCCTACCTCCTTTGCAGAGAGGGTTTATAAACGCCGAGTTGATACTCTCCCCTCGTAAGGGTACCTGTCGTGTTTCCATAGAGACATAAAGGTGAATATCTGTCTATCTGTTTCCTTGAGAATCTGGAAAGGATATCAATATATCGCCTTCCGTACGAATATAAGGATCTGAATTCTGTGAATTATACTCTGGTCAGTTCTCTTTGCGGATCTTCTGTTCGGTTCGTCTTGACTGGGTGGTTTTCTCCGATTGAGTGGCAAGTATCAAATATTGCTTTTCGGATCTACAACAAAACATCACATATTAATCGTTGTACATTCAACTGATACATACCTGAATGATATTTTCATCGTCCGTAACTGGATTGCTACATATCCGCTTTGTTTCCGAATAATGGTTTTGCCAGTAGGCAGCTTTCACATTTTCAATTACGTGGGTTGAATTAAGGACCTTGAAGGTCAAACAATAATGTACTGCTCGGATCTAAAACTAAGTATCAATTTCAAATCTAAATCGTGAGACTACATAGAATGTGGAAAGTCTGGATATTGTTTTCAAGATTCGTAACTGGAACGCGATATATTTTTGTAATTCATCAACTTTCTCAATGAAGACGAGGCAGGCAGATAAACAACAATTTTCTCTGCAATGAAGAACACTGTATATACCTAACCCACTATGCGCCTACCTCCTTTGCAGAGAGGGTTTATAAACGCCGAGTTGATACTCTCCCCTCGTAAGGGTACCTGTCGTGATTCCATAGAGACATAAAGGTGAATATCTGTCTATACGTTTCCTTGAGAATCTGGAAAGGATATCAATATATCGCCTTCCGTACGAATATAAGGATCTGAATTCTGTAAATTATACTCTGGTCAGTTCTCTTTGTGGATCTTCTGTTCGGTTCGTCTTGACTGGATGGTTTTCTCCAATTTAGTGGCAAGTATTCAAACACTGCTTTTCGGATCTGTAACTCAATATCACATATCAATCGAAGTACATTTGAATCATAAAATAAAAAATATCATTAGATGAATTACAGAGATGCTGAATCTGAGACATACCTGGATGATATTTTCATCGTCCGTAATTAGATTGTTACATATCCGCTTTCTTTCCGAATAGTGGTTCTTCCAGTAGGCATCTTCCACATTTTCAATTACGTGGGTTATATTGAGGACCTTGAATGCCAAACAATGTTCTACTCGAATATAATACTATGTATCAATTTCAAATTCGAATCGTGAGACCTACATAGAATATGAATCTATGGAAAGTCTGGATGTTGTTCTCAACATTCGTAACTGACTAACTAACCACCTAACCCACCATGCACCTACCGCCTTTGCAGAGAGGGTTTATTAACGCCAAGTTGATATTCTCCCCTCGTAAGGGTACCTGTCGTCTTTCCATAGAGACATAAAGATGAATATCTGTCTATCTGTTCCCTTGAGAATCTGGAAAGGATATCAATATATCGCCTACCGTACGAATATGAGGATCAGAATTCTGTAAAGTATACTCTGATCGGTTCTCTTTGCGCATCTTCTGTTCGGTTCGTCTTGACTGGATGGTTTTCTGCAAGTTAGTGGCAAATATCAAACACTTTGCTTCTCAGATTTGCAAATAAACATGACATCAATTATCGATGTTGAATCTGAAACATACCTGAATAATATTTTCAACATTCGTAACTGGAACGCGATATATTTTTGTAATTCATTAATTCATCAACTATCTCAATGAAGACGAGGCAGGCAGATAAACAAAACTTTCCTCTGCAATAATACT